GTAAGTGATGAATCACTGAATTCTACCCTGAAACCAATATTGGACTGTATGTTAACAAACTGAAATTTACACGCACGCGCGCACACACACACACACACACACACACACACACACACAGTACCAGCAAAGCAGAGATAACAATGAAAAAAAACTTTTTTAATGAATTTGATGTTTGAAAAAGCCATCACCTTAACTATAAATTAGTACAAAAGAAATTTTATTAGACTTTCTATATTCACTTTAGTATGATTTTTTTTCTGTTTAATCACTTATGGGCGGGGAAGTGAAGTGTCTCCAAGTGTAACCTTTTCAGTGCTTTAGACATGTTTCTAACAGTTTTTAATCCAGCACTGCTGTTAAGGATTACATGAAGTGATGCACATAAAGCATTTAACATAATGCCTTATGTCAAACAGTAGGCACTCAAATATTGCCATTATTGTTAATACTATTGTCATTAGCATTATTTCTCTCCACATGTTTCAGACTAGAACCTCTCTTTTGAATCTTTGTGGTAAATGTCATCATATGCACACACTTTTTATTTCCATGCTTCCAACACTAGTTCAACAATAACATAAAGGTCTTGGGAAAATAAACTTTAAATAGCCAATTCTTAAAAACTGCTTTACTGACCAGTCGTTAGGTCAATAAACTAAATTCAGAACTGGGAAATCCTTATGTTAAGGAAGAAGAATGCCTTCAGCATAGACATAGTTTTTTACATACCCCTTTTACATTACATGTAAAAATATTTTCCCATGGTTCTGCTAAATTTCTAGAGCAACAGCACAGAGCATGGCTATTTAAATATTACTATTCCACAGAGTCAACTAAAACTTCAAAAAGAAATGGAAATTAACCATGCTATCACATAAACTGATTACTCTTTTAATTACATTCTTTCCAGGTTTAAAGGAGAGAAATTTAAAAGTCAATAGACAACACATAATGTATAGCACGCCTTAAAGTGAAAATAACACTGGTCAAGAGTGATTGTAATGAAACAGTATTTTTCTATTGAAGCATCACTTCAAAATTATAAGGAAAATTTGCTATAACAAAGTGCAATTGCCCAGAAAGGGATCTAATATATAAACTATGAATAACTTATCCTATAAAATAAACCTTATCATAATAATTGTTTATTTTCATTCACAGTTAAAAAAACCAAAACACCAGATGAATCATTTAAAACTCCACTACTCAAGCCACTGGTACATGTCAAACTGTCCATTAAACACTGAAAAATCAATAAACCAGACCATACAAGTTGTATCTATTGGTTTGTAGAGTGGCTAACCGTACACCTTAACAAGGTGTACAGGCCTTACTTTATCTGACCCTTACTCATCTGCCACCCCCCTCCCACCCCCACTTGTCTCTCAACCACATTCCTCTTACATCTCCACCCTCACTACATAGATTACAGCTCTTTAAACACACCATGTTCTTGCTCACATTTCAAATATGTTCCCTACCTTTCTGGTCCACTTGAAGAAGTTAAATCTAGTGTATTTTAAGACTTGCCTCAAGATTTGGATAAAGGATTAGTATCCAAAATCTATAAAGAACTTACCAAACTCAACATCTGAAAAACAAATAATCCAGTGAAGAAACGGGCAGAAGACATGAATAGATACTTTTCTAAAGAAGACATCCAGATGGCCAACAGACACATAAAAAGATGCTCAGCGTCACTCATTATCAGGGAAATACAAATCAAAACAACACTGAGATATCACCTCACACCGGTCAGAGTTGCTAAAATTAACAACTCAGGAAACAACAGACGCTGGTAAGGATGTGTAGAAACCCTCTTGTACTGTTGGCGGGAATGCAAACTGGTGTAGCAACTCTGGAAAACAGTGTGGAGGCTCCTCAAAAAATTAAAAATAGAACTACCCTATGACCCAGAAATAGCAGTACTAGGAATTTATCCAAAGGATACAGGATTGCTGATTCATAGGGGCACATGTACCCCAATGTTTATAGCAGCACTTTCAACAATAGCCAAATTATGGAAAGAGCCTAAGTGTCCATCAACTGATGAATGGATAAATAAGATATGGTTTATATATACAATGGAATACTACTGGGCAATGAGAAGGAATGAAATCATGCCATTTGCAGCAACATGGATGGAACTGGAAAGTATTATGCTGAGTGAAGTAAGTCAGTCAGAGAAAGGCAGATATCAAATGTTTTCATTCATGTGGATCTTGAGAAACTTGACAGAAAACCATGGGGAAGGGAAGGGGGAAAAATAGTTGCAAACAGAGAGGGAGGGAGACAAACCATAAGAGACTCTTAAATACAGAGAACAAATGGAGGGTTGATGGGGGGGTGGGGGAGAGGGGAAAATGGGTGATGGGCATTGAGAAGGGCACTTGTTGAGATGAACACCGGGTGTTGTATGTAAGCGATAAACCACAGGAATCTACCCTGAAAACCAAGAGCACACTTTACACACTGTTAGCCAAATTGACAATAAATTATATTAAAAAATAAAAATAATTGAAAAAAAAAAAAAGACTTGGCTCAAGATTAACCTCCTCTATGAATACTTTGCCTACCATACTAAGCTCTCCACACAATCTATGACTGGTTCTTTTATCCCCCCCATTTTCTCTCTATATACAGTTGGCCTGTTAACAATACGGGTTTGAATTGTGTGGGTTCACTTATACATGGGCTTTTTTCTCAATTAATACATTACTGTAAATGTATTTTCTCTTCCTTATGATTTTCTTAATAACATTCTCTTTTCTCTAGCTTACTTCATCACAAGAATATAGTATATAATACATATACAGAATATGTTATTAATTGACTTTTTGTGTTATCAGTAATGCTTCCAGTCAACAGTAGGCTATTAGTAGTTAAGTTTGCTGGGGGGAGGGGAAATCAAAAGTTACAGTGGACCTTTGTGCAGCAGGTCAGTGCCCCTAATACCTTGTGTTGCTCAAGGGTCAGCTGTAGTATCACAATACCTGTGGTATTTGAGTACACTTACTTAATAATATGTCTCCTCCTACTGAACAATTAATTTCCTGAGAATAGGTGGCTATCTTAATTCATCGTTTTATGTCCAATAACTAGCACTGTACTTCATATATGGTAAGCATACAAGTATATGAATGGATAGATGCATGAATTCAGTATGACCTTGTAATGAGGTAGACTATGAAAAAAAATCTTAAGAACTAAAAACATTCTCCCTCCAACAATCAGATTCAATTACTACTTAAAAACTGTGGCAAGGAAATAAGAAATAACAAACTTCACTGTAGATATTCAGAAGTGAAAAGAATAGCTTTTTTTTTCCTTTTTGGCTAACTCAAAAATAAAATTAGTTATACATTTATAATCTTTGGTTTACTATAATCATAATAAGAAAAGTTCTATGTATTCAATTATGATAAGCAAGTATCAATAGAATTTTCTTTATAAATCACAATTTTTAAAACAATACTATTATTTTCAGAATGTTAAAAAAAATCCATTTATGAAGGTAGACCACCCCAATATAAATTAAATTGTAAAAAAGTCAAGATAAATGAGACTGATCACAGAACAATACAATAACAAAACAATAACAATAACTTATTTCCAACCTAAAGTCATAATATCATTACCATGGATTCAGTCCTCCAATATCTGTTTAGCTAAGTAATTTTCTCTGTAAAAGAAAAAATAACTAGTATTTTTTTCTGTATTCCTGACTGATACTCCATGTGATTTAAGATAATAGTAACAGGGGCACCTGGGTGGCTCAGTCCGTTAAGCGTCCAAGTTTGGCTCAGGCCATGATCTCGAGCCCCGCGTTGGGCTCTGTGCTGACAGCTCAGAGGCTGGAGCCTGCATCCGATTCTGTGTCTCCCTCTCTCTCTGCCCCTCCCCTGCTAATGGTCTGTCTCTCTCTGTCTCTCAATAATAAATGTTAAAAAAATTTTTTTTAAATAACAACAATAGTCACAGCTACCATGTAATAAGTATTTACTAAATGCTACTCACCATTTCACATATGATACTTCATTTAAGGTTTATAACAATTCTATTATCTTTGCATTCATAGCCCTGGGTGACAGCCCAACAATAAAACAGCCTCTGAAAATTCAATTACCTAAAGTCTTACTACCAATTTTAAGGGGGAAAGGAAGGACTACCTGATTTCAAAGCCTGTGTCCTTTGTACAACAATATGCCACTTCTCTTAATTCATTAAAAATGTTACTCACCCAATTTATCCAGTATTAAAATTGTATTGACATTTTAAATTTATAACAGGAAAGGAATATAATGCCAATATTGACAGCAAAACTCAACACCTTAAGATAAACTTTTATGTAGCTGTAATTCATCATTTTGAGTAACATAACTAAATCATGGCATAGAAAGTAATTAAAATAACATTTTCCTTTGTGTGATATAAAAAACTTATTAAGACAGTTCTTTACTCCATAATACAAAACAGACCAATTATTTCTGGATCAGTCTATTTTTCAAAGCTTATTCTTTCAAACATAGAAACTAGTGAAAAATATTTTTCTAAATCAGTTAAGTCATTCAATATATTAAATGTCTAATATTTTGAAATTAAATTTTCATCAAAGAACTCTTAGAAATCTAAAACAATATACAAACATTAACCTTTATTAGTAGAGTAGCCATATGACTTATTATTTAAACCTATACACTTTTTGAAGAAGGGGCCCTACTGGTTATTATAATGGGACAACAGATTTAACCAGGACTGTCCCAATAACCAGGACAAGAGGACACCTTAACACCTTGTCCTCGGAGTCTTCTGCTATTCATCACACTCACACAGTCCTCCTATAACTACTAAGTGGAAAGACACGCATGCCTACTATATAAGCCATTTGGCTACGTATTTATAGCAGCACAATATTAAACCATCTTTGCTAACTATCCATGTTTTAAAAGGCTACTAAAGTAATTCACATTAATATAAAACTTCAATAACTTCAACTATACCTCATTCTGAAGTTCATCACCACTTTTAACAGAAGCAAGCATATCATATAAGGTACAGCAAAGATCTTCTATTCTTGTTGCTTCAGCCATTTCATTTAAAGTTGTATTTAAGTACTTCTCAACTTCACACCACAAAAAGGAGTCCTTTGTTTTTTCCACAGGCTTGAGCTCTGGTGTAGACTGCTCCTGAAAATGTTCATTCAGAAACTTCTTATAATCAAGGCTTATAGTTTTCTGGGGTTCACCATTTATTGGCAGTTCGTCAAAGTGGTCCAAATCATGCATGTCAAATGAAAATGCTAAATTTTTACCAAATAAAACTCTATCACCATATTCTTCTTCTGTCATGTGGATAAGAGCAGTAAGATTGTCTTGACAAAAATGAGAAATAATTCGATTAGTAGCATTACAAGCTGCAGTGGCAGATGATGATGGAAAAGGACCAAACATCTGTTTGATAGCCTTTGTCTCCTTGTGACCGACAGAGTCCTTCAAGTGAAATGTCTTGAAGAGAAATGCAGCCGCACTTTCAATTGCTTCTTTACCATTATCTATTCCAACTATTCGAAAATGAAAGAAACAGTATTAGCTCAAATGAATCACAGTTCAAGTTACTGTCTTCAAAAAAACTACTAATATTTTTCTGGGTACTTCCAACAGTGAAAGTATACTGATAAAGATAACCAATTTAGGAGCAGAAAAATCCCTGTAAGTCTATTCCCAAATTCCCAAAGAAAAATATTAGGTCAATAAATCATTATCAGTAATCATTCTCCATCTAAAAAGGAGAAACCCGCTAGTAACAACTCTTTACCTCTTTCTGAAAACAACTTGAGGTGTTACGTAAAAACTTACTTAAAAGTGATTTTTTTGAACAGTTTTCATGGGTTAAATAAACCCAAATAAGGTTTAAAATACATCTGAATTATAGACTTTTGGAGCTAGAACAAAACGTCAGGAGATCTATAACTCCTTTCCGATTTGTACTGTGAATCTCAGATGGCAAGAAATAGATTTATATAGTTTTCACTCAAAAACATTTAATAATATCAAGGATGGACATAATAAAATCTTTTCAAATAAACTTAGCCAATATTACAAAACATTTTTTAAAAATCCATTGTTTAAAGGCCAGAAGTAAATTCCTTACCAAAGTAAGAGTAAGTAAAGGAGCTGCCACTATTTCTTTAAAGCATAAATTTCTCATCACTGATTTTCCCAAATAAAGGAAGGAAAGAACCTATACCTGTGTCATAGAATTCAAAGAATAGCCTGAGAGCAGAAAAAAATAATTTTAATCTTCAGAAGACCTCAAAGTCAGTGTGTCTGAGTTTAAGGAATAAAGTTAGTAATGTAATACTAGTATCTTCCTGAAAACATTGCTACAATCATTGATCACAAATCTTAAGCAGCCTAGTACAGCTTGATATTCAATCAAACTTCTACACTTTGTTTTCAAGTCACCCCAGGAGCTGACTCCATCCTTTTTTCCCATCCTCACTCACCATTATTCATTTCCAACTTCAGAATTTCTTAACATCCAAAAACCAGGTCCTGTCCTATTCTATGCCTGTCTCCACACCTTTATGTAACCTTCCCCAAGGCCTCTAATTGTTGGAATTTTACCCATGTTTCAGAATCTAGCTTAACTGCCTCTTTCAAGGTGAGCATGAATATTGATACAATGTTGTACTCTGTCACTGCTCATACCCCAAAACAGGTGTCTCAATACAAATTTGTTGAATTAACCTAAACCCAGGCCTCAGTGATATCAGGCTAGTGTTTTTACACTATACCACACTGCCTCAGTAATTTATCTGATGCTTACACAGGTGTGTGGAAGACTAATAATTTAGGAGTGAAAGTAATTTTACAATGGCTATTATTTCTGATTTCTTCAACTATAAAGTCTACTTGTATGATTATAAAGAATTTACAAAACAGTATGGGACATATAATTAATCTTTTATTATTTAGGAAAATACATGACTAAAAACTTCTATAAATTAAATAATGCTTAAAATTAATTAATTGAATAACATTTATCTACATTTTACTTAGTCTATACATGATGCTTAGAGAACTCGGGTTTTGAATCATTTAGGAATTGTGATAATTCTACAAATAATTCAACAGGGGTGGGACTACTGAGGTCTGAATAAAAATGAACTCTCATTTTCACACTTGATCTTAGCCAAAAGGCCGAGAAGCAATGAACTCTCATTTTCAAACTCACTTTATATCTAACATGTAAACATGTATTCTTTTGTAAAAATATTTTGCACCTTGGGATTTTTCTTAAACTTACTAAGAACTTTTCCATTAAATTATCTCAATCTTTCCTAATAAAATTAGCTTCATCTTACAGATGCTAAAATGGAGACTCAGAGATTAATAATTTGGGAGAGATCAAACAGGTATTTACTTATTAAAGAAGATTCAGAGCAGTCTTGTAACTCCTAAACAAAGTTCTTCTACTACCCCACAATGACTCCTTATAAAGTCCCAGAAAGTAGATTTATCCCTAAGTCTCCTTTACTAAATAAATGATAAATCACTCTAGGAAATAAATAAATGAGAGAATAGTCTTAATTTCTTACCAAAAATGGAATTAATTTATATACCATTATTACATCTCTGGTTAAAGTATGCTACAGGCATATACTGCATTCGTTAAATATAATGCAGTGGATCCATACATCTTACCAGAAAATAATCTTCATGGTATCAGAGAAAAGATAAGTTATGAGTCCACATTTGAAGAAAAAGAAAATAACTACAGGCTCTTAGAAATAAAGATCGAAAACATTTTTTCAGGGTTTCAAATTTTTAAATGAGCATTGGTAATATCTATTTCCCCAAAACAGTCTTTAAAATATCTTTTTAATGTTTATTTATTTTTGAGAGAGAGTGCGAGCAGGGGAAGTGCAGAGAGAGAGGGAGACACAGAATCCAAAGCAAGCTCCATGCTCTGAGCTGTCAGCACATAGCCTGACACGAGGCTCGAACATGATCACGGACCAGGAGATCACGACCTGAGCAGAAGTCAGACGCCCAACTGAGCCACCCAGGCGCCCCTCTCTAAGTTAGATAATGTTGCTTCATAAACGTTAATACCCTTGCCTAACTATTCACTCTCCCGTACAACCTACTCCAGTGTATCTTTGATTAAGACACATGTTCGCACCACCAAGCGGTTTCTAAAAAGTGAACCAGCACCGCGATATTCAGGAGTCTGGGAGTTTGTTTTGGAGAAACATTAGCAAACACCATTTATGGCTACTGTTGGCTTTCCAACGAAGAGAGTACTGCATTTTGAAAACGATGGACTTCTCTGGGGCACTAAAACACACAAGGCCAACTTTTCGCCCCACTGCCTTGCAGCAACCGCGCACGCGTGTTTTCCGTGCCCAGAGACGCGACACGACTTCCAGCGCATACAGTCCGCACGTGATGACGTAGTCATCATAGGACGCTGGCCGTTGGCCGACCACCCCGATGAGAAGGTAGCTCAGGATTGGAGGAGAGAACTGTGGCCTCACGCTGGCAGCAACAAAGGAGCCAAAATAGTTAACTAACACTTGCCCACCCATGAAGCCAGCACTCAGATCTTTTGGTGACTAAACTACATGAAAGGTATTTGAAAAACATGGAGAAAACATAGAAAACATCTGAAGAAAGTGAATGCAGCTGGATGTCTGGCCTGTCACTGGTCTGGCAGGCCCCACCACCCCTCAATAGAAATGGCATTAGAAGGGAAACGGACAGGAAACCTAAGCGCTTCTCCATCAACTAGCTGAACCAGTGCACAAATAATTGCGCCACATGGAGAGACCTCAGAAAACATGTGTGGTGCGCTTCTGGAGTGTAAACTTGTAAAAAGTAGTCCTTTTCTTACACCGTACTGAAAATTAAATTTGTTTACAAATAACCTCTTTATTTTATTTTTATGTACAGTGTAGTACTCATATTTTATGTACAATGTAAAACTGATAAACTTTTAAATGATTTCGTAGGCTAAAACTCTTGAACAGTTAACATTAGCTCCCAAATCTTCAAGTCTGTTCCGTTTTACACCACTGCCTGTCCTAATCTTTCTAGGCGGATGTTAATAAGTTTAGTTGTGTCAAGATAAAATATCAGTAAAGAATAAGATATACACTAATCAACTCTCAAAGGCTTGAATGAAACTTAGTATCTCCAGACCTTTAAGAAAGCTAGTCGAGATACTCAACCATTTGAGTATCAAATGTTCTATCATAAAACACCAAACAAGATAGACTGTAAACCAGAAAACTGGTTCTATCACCTGGCACTTCAACTGCAACACATTTAAAGAGATATGATGCTTAGAGGGTTATTAGAATACTCTATATTAGTAATAAATACTTGCCCTTCCTACTTCAGTTACATTGAGAGAAAATAAGATGTGAAATGTACAATAAACTGTAAAGATATAACTGGTAACTGATTAACAAAACAAATTTTTAAAATCAGAGTTGAGTGATGACTATAATCATAAGTCATTCTCAATACAAAATTTACTTCTAATACTAAATACTTTTAATACTGAGAATTACAGGGTTGTAAATTATAACTTTTAACAAATAACCTACACCACAGTAGCTGGGGAATTCCTAAATCAGAATAAGAAATTTTTAAATTGAAAATTGAATAAAAATATCCATCAACTGCTTGCATTTCCAAGTTAACAAATGAGTTCCTTGATCAGTTAAATCTTCAATGTTTAGCAGAAAATATTTTATAAATATATGTTTATATTTTAATATTGAAATGTTCAAAACAGTCAAATTTACTTTTTCATGTTATACAAAACTTTAAGTGTTCATTTTACTGAACACTTGATCTGCAATTGTAAATACCATAATATTATAACCCAGCATCAGTGTTACCTTAAGTTCATTCCATTTGTTATTATCAGCAACATAGCCCAGCTACTATAAACATGTTATATTTGCATGGAGATGAGCTAACTGATTTTTTAACTGGTAATTATGATAATTTTTTACAAATATGTAAAATATTTGTGCTATAAACTTTCCTAGGATAGCATCACATATAAAAAGGTACAAAAATAAGGATTCAACTTAATCATATACTATTACATTCCCCAATCACATCTCTCCCTTTACATATTCCCTTCCAGTCTCTGTTGGTGTGCTTTTTAACAAGCATAGTATCTAAAATTGTCCAAAATGAATCTTGCAAGTATTTTCCTCATTTTACAGAGAAACTCAGATACATGAGATTAAATAACATACTAAGACTATAAGAGCAGGATCATTTGTTTTTGCATTATACCATCTTTCAAATTACCAAATTATCAAACAAATTTATAATAAATACAGATAACCATTTACCATATGCTTTTGGGGGAATAAATGGAACAATTTGTGTGAGACAAATTTAAAATTGCCTAAGTACTACAATTTAATATAATGGATTTCATTTAAGAGTGTAACTACATCAAAGCACCTACAACAAAACCTCACATTAAGTAGGCACAGTATTCAAGAAATGTTCAATAACTTGAAGGACT